CATCCAGCATTTTTACTTCTGGTTACAATGAATGTATGACTGGGGATGATTTCTTAAAATATTTAATTATTTATATAAGAATATTTATTTTATTTTATCTAGTACTGGGAGTATCCTACTGGTGCTAAATGTCAAATTCTTCATCCAGATCGTAGTATGCTGAAAAAATCTAGACCTAAAACTACATCCAGATGATTTCTTCTACATTTTTTTTCAGTACTGGTGCAATGATAAAATAAATGACAGTCAGTGCTTTGCCTATAAACATACAAAACACTGTTACAAATAAACATGATTTACAAGAGAAAATTTTGAGTTGTTTCCTTAGCACAAGATATATTAACTACAAAAGAAATAATGGGGAAGAGTTGTGGCAGACCCACTGAGAAACTTTCAAAACAAAATACCTCAGGGTATTTATACGCCAACCCTTACACCCAAATACTCTACAAAACACAAAGTATAATACAAATACATGTGTATATTTTGTGTGTCTTTCATTTGTCTTCAGCCTTTCTTGTCTACAATGAGTGCTTATTGCCTCCTATTGTATTATTTATTAGATATAGGCTAAAGATTATGCTATCTTAATTTATAGGTAATATTCTGACTAATAGTAACAGTTTTTCTCAGATGTAGTTGAACTGCAGCCAAAGTGAATATTTTGTAATCAGTATCACTATTTTATCATTTCTCTTCTAAGCTTGGTGATCATACAGTACATAAGCTCCACATCTGACCTGTGCTTATGACTTCTCCTTCACTCGTGGAGTGTCTGGAGGTTTATAATCAGGTCAGTCCATGAGCTGACTGTGTATTGAGCTCCTGTCTTAGTAAATCAGATGCTGAATACATAAAAAATGCAGCCACAAACTCAGTGAAACCACATTTGCACAAGTCCACTTTCTTAGAAAATCTGACCCAATCTGACTTTGGCTTGATGAATAATTCATCAGCAGTTCATCAGCACCGCAAACTGTATTTTTTGTCCAGTGTCCGAGTAGTTTAGATTTGTGCCAAACATCATGTCCACTGTTACTGGGTTTTCTGGATTTGTTACTAAAATGACTGGATCTTATTAAGACTCCTAATTCCGCCAGCAATGATTTCACTTTATCAAATATATGAGTGTACAGTTCAAATTCCAATGCAGATAAAAAATCCATTCATTCTGTAATACATTATCCGTGACCTGAATAAACAATTACAGAAACCAAAATCAACAATCAAATAATGACTAATTGAAAATCATTCCAAATGATTCATTAATCAAATTAAGTGCAGGAATAACCAGTTAATTATTTAAATTATATCAGAACAATAATCACTTGATATGCAAAATATGAACAAGCTATTAACAGCAACAATCAAACTAATATATCAAAATAACATGTGTTACAGAGTAGGTTTTAAATTTTAATATATATGTATTTAGTCCTGAGCAGGCTATAATACCAAAGCAATCAGTCATAAACCAATAAGAACCAAAATCAACTACAAAATAATATAAAAATAATAAACATGTAAAGTAACAGAACTCAGTTAAAATGTAAATAAGAAGTTATCAAGATATCCCTTGATGCTTTAAAACAATATGTCTGTCACCAATACCACCAAAGGATTCAGCAAACATGATACAACAGAATAGATGTGTTCATTCAGCAGATTAATGACATTTATCAAATAAGAATGATGATCTAAGTTTCAGCGTGAAAGCCAAACAAAGAGAAATAGTAAAATATGGTCTGGAACCATCTTGGCCGTTTCCCCTTCAGCTCAGGCAACACAGGATGTTTTGTGAATGCAGCCCCAGGTTTGAACTCAAATAGGTCAGTTTAATGAGGAGCTACAGTATAATGAGCAGGTTCTAATTGAAATGTCTTCTTTTTTTCTTTGTTTTATTCCTTTAATCACTGCTTCCTTCTTTCAGAAGTTACCTCAAATCTCAGTTCAAATGAAGATATAAAACATCAGACTGCATTTTCCTCCACATGCATCAGCTCCATGACTTGTTACTGTGGTTTTACTCTAACTAAATTCCAACTTAACCCAAATAAATGAGACTTCAAAGCACATTTTTCTTCTTTGGCATCCTCTCCTGAGCTGCCTCGCTCCTCTTGGCTAAGTGACAAAGCAAGTGAATCTTCAATGACTCATCGGTGATGTCTCAGAAAGTAGGAAGCAAAGGTGATGGAGGAGAAGTGCCCCAGAGGCCTGAAGGTTCCTGGTGCTTCATCGCTCATGCAGGGCAGCACCATGAGGGAAGAGCTGCAGGTGGCTGCAATGATGGATACGGGGTCCGCTGTATAATCTTTCACCCCTTCAAAAACAGTTTGAGAAGGAAGCTGTCAAAGGGCCACTGCAGAGTAGACCCCACTGCCTGCTGCAGAACGTTAATGTCAGCTCATGACTGCATGTGGGGACGACCCTGCAAAACTGAAACCTCAGTTAAACCCGACTGACACAGTGGTTATTGTAAAGCTTGTCAGGAGGAAACTGAAAGACTAAGATTTGCCTCTCTCTCTCTTTGGGGAATATTGCACTCAGTCAAAATGGTAGAAGGAAACAGCTGGCATCAACATCTAGCAATTAAGTTAGCAAATGGCAAACTTTCAATATTCAGTCTGCCTCTACTATAAATGAAGAAACTAATAATATATCTAATTTTCAGCAGGTCATTCCATGGTGCGCCGATTCAGGGTAAACAATCATTCATGGGGGAACTTTAAGAGAATATGGAAATGTGATTCAGTGAGTGTGGGATGACATTTATTTTCTCTTGGCCTTTTGCTACCAGGCATATTTATGGAGGCGTTAACTCAATTGTGAGAGCGAGGCAATCAAAACAGCCATTTTTCATAACACAATAAGATTAGTACAACATGACAGCCATTACACAGGGTGCTCTGACTCAATACAACCACTGCCACACACAGGACTTTGTTGATGCATGATTTTAGAAATGTGGGCAACTTATTAAATAGTGTTAATGGCCAATAAATCAGATGCTTCAAGATCTTACTGTCTACAACCCGAGGTGATTCCTGTCTTTAAGCTATGACTCTGTGGTTTTTCTGTTACTTTTTTGGCTGGCTTGGTGGCACAGAGGTGCAGTAGTTAGCGCTGTGGCCTCACAGCAACAAGGTTCCAGGTTTAAACCTCGCAGCCACCCGTGGTCTTTCTGTGTGGAGATGGCATGTTCTCCAGGTACCCGGGTTTCCTCCCAACAGTCTTGAAGCTGTCCATAGGAGTGAATGTGAGTCTGTCTCTGTGTCAGCCAGGTGACAGATTAGTGACGCTGGAATCAGCTGTATGAACATAAAGCAGATTCTCAATTTTATTCATTCTCAGTTTTTCCTATTCATTATTGGTACAACTGCTTTCCTCCTCCTTAAGCCCCTTTCCCAAGGCACAACAGTCTGCTTTCAACCCTTTACCAAAGTCCTGGTAAGACAACAGACAAATCGACTCTAACATAGATTTATAACTGTGATGGAATTACTGAATTTAAAATTCTAATACCTCATACTACGTTTTGCTGGAAAACATTCCTCACATCCCCTGCATGTTACTAAATAATCTACTACAAAACAGTATACTGCAAAAAGCCACATGAGGTTGCATAATAGACCCATGAATGCAAAAAACAGCACAGCAATTTATATCAGACAGGATTTTACAGCTGTGGAGCATTATCACAGTATTTCTGTATTTTCTATAATTTGTAAGACTGGCCACTTTCTTGAATTCTGCTCCACTTTTTTAAAAGACTCGGCATTTTGTCAGTATAACATACATGATTTAGTGTATGTGCTCTTATCAAATTGTCTCTAGCTTCCTTTAGCTTTTTAAAATCTAATTCTGAGATTCATCATTATAATACTAGACAGACACATCATCTTTATCTTCCTTTTTATAAAAAAAGTCATTGCCATTATTCTCTCAGATATCATGGTGGACAGAAATGGAATGTAAAGTAGATATTAAAACCTCACTACAAATTTAGAAAGAATTTAATTCATGATGTATATTTCATCAGTTGTTTTGTTCTTTTTATTGCAGTTTTTCATTATGATCATTGTGTATTTATTTATAAACTGGAACTTTTTAAAAGTTTTATATATAAGTATGTGGTCATATAAGTCTATAGCTTCGTGATCTCTCCTGTCACATTTGTCTAATTTAATTTTTTATGGTTTTATATTGCTATGTTTTATGAAGTGCAAATAGATAAACTAAAAAAAACTCAGGTAAACCCTGCTGTAGCACTAAACTTAAAAAGTAATCTAACAGGACATCTGCACTTTATTTGCCAATACATTATGTTGTTGGATGGCACTGCAACTTAATCCCGATGAAATGAGTGTTTCTTTGTATAGACAACACCGCATTTTATTGATTTATTTACTTTGCAAGAGCCCTCTGTGCTGCACCTCCACTGCACCGTGCACAGTGGCCACAAGGAAATGAACGAGGAGATTTTTTCACACTGTGATTGTGAGTAAACACAGACTTGGAGCATTTAAGACACCTGTCAGTCAGCTCTGGCAAGCTCCTGAAACTCTTACAAAGTGTTTAGAAATGGCTCTTTATCTGGTAAAAAAAAAACAACAACTCAGGACTAGCTGTCAGATTCAGCTGTGAAATTTATCTCACCTAGATTTGAAATGCGTGACATTTCATTGTCTGCACAGCTCTAACTGATTTTTGCCACTCCATCACCAGAAGTCTCTATCAGCTAAAGCAATGCTGAAAACACATGCTCACCTACAGTACCGTACTGAAAAGCATCTGCATGAAGAAACACAGGGGCTATCTAGCTTTGGTGGATTCTGTAATGACAGTCTTCAGGAGAGTGAAGATCATATTATTGTATAATTATTTGAAAATGTCAGATTTTCATTATTATTCCTCACTGTAGTATAACTGAGGAAGCAGACTGTGTTTCTGAGGTCTGTTCTTTTCTATAGATATTAATATGTGTTCCTGTTTGATTCCAGGTCTGAAACGGAGCTATACCTGTGAGGTCTGCAGTGTCACACTGAACTCGGTGGCACAGTACCATGCACATCTGCAGGGCTCAAAGCACCAAAACAAGTGAGTAGCTCATGCTCCTGTTCATCACAGCAGCAGAGCTGATTTTCATGAGTAAATATTACACCTCATCTTTGGCACTGAATTTTTTTTCTCCTTTGGTTTCATCTGCATCTTTGCAATCCCATGATTCTCAAGGAGGTCTTTGCACTTCAGATACAGTACATTTCACACTGCATGCATAAATGATCATAGTATTGTAGCGAGCTGGAGTGCTGAGAAAACTTTCAGATGGGCTCATTTTGCTGAAAGCAGTCTATGGCTTTAAAGAAAATTCTCTAATTGAGCCCTTTCCTGCTTTTACAATGTAGCTAAATTTGGCTGTGGTGCCTGCAGGAGCCACTCTCATGGTGACAATCAACAAAGTTTTACAGTGGAGTCAAAACAAAAGGCAGCCTGCTGGAACTTGCTCTCCAGCAGACAGCTGGAAAACAAAAGTTAATTTTAAAAAACCTGCTCACAGCCACTTTCCTAACAGTCACAATAGGCATCTTAAGAAAATCTACAAGTTTTGTTAAACAAATGGGACTGTTACTGAAGTAAACATTGGAAACCCTGGGTACCTGTTTTAACAAGCTTGTTTTCCTTTTTCATTTCAAATTTCAAAAATTGGTATTTTACTCTAAGTACTGTTGAAGCCGTTCATACCAAGGAAGTATCTGTGCCTTATTCTTTAGAGCAGTGACTTCCAGCTAGTTGTTGTACCTCGGGGTGTATGTCTGCAGTTACCAGGCAATACCTGGAAAGGCTGTGGAGTAGCAGAGTTAATTAGAAATAATAAGAACCACCTCCATACCACAACCAGCCTGGTTTCTTCCACATAGCCCACAACTGTGCCTGGGGTGTATTTGGGTTATTTTGTTAATCCAAGTTTACACAGAGTGAATAAAGGCTTATCTGCTTTACAAAACTCCAGAGAGGGGCTCAGGATGTGTTTGGTGTCCTTTATCACTACACAGCTATGGCTTTTTCAGTCTATCTAAGCCAAAAAGAAATGTGTAGAAACTAGGAACCTTGCCCTTCCTGAACAATCATGTTTAAAGCAAAAGCACACTTTAAAAAAGTGCAAATTGTGTGACTTTTATTAGGAGATAATTAAATAATGACTTAAAAAGCTAATGAAGGAAGGAGAATTATTCAAAGTTCAAAGCTTTAGAAGTTAAACCTGAAATGTCAGTATTTCTATTTCAGAAATAGATTTCAGCTCACTCATAGTGCTGAACCCTGAGAGAATTATTATCACCTGACTCTATAGTTCCTCTCAGCACTGTTAAGCATTTTAGCATCTTTCAGTTAATTGTTTTGGTTTTATAAGATGGAACTCAGACTCCTTGTTCTAATCATTTCTCGATGCACTAAGCAGTTATTTTTTGTGTAGAAGCTTTAAACCCCTGCTGCGTGCTGCCTTCCCAGAACCAAATTACTGATATATAATCTTAGAAACTATAGTCGGTGAACATAGTGGAGTTGTATTCACCAGTCTGTCCATGTCCTCTAGTCTCTTAGAGTGGTTCCTAAATGCTTCTAATGCTCATAGTTGTCAGTTAGTCTACATCTGGTGTGGAACCTACTTTAGCTGAAGCGTTAGCATCTTTCAGCAAGTTTACAGGTTAACTGTTGGCAGTTTCGCAGCCAACATGGAACCTCCATCCTCTGTCACAGCAGCTGAATCTGTCCACACTTTTAGACATAGTACCAGACATAGTACTAGTACTAGCAAAAGTTGAAAGAGCCTCACACGGCAATGCCACCTTCTGACGCAATGCCGTTGTTAAGTAATACTGTAGTTGGTAGGGCAAAAGAAAACATGTTTACACAAAGTGAGTTTGTCTGTCCAACAAAGGGGATGACTAAAGGTTCTTATTATAACAAACTATTCTTGAATGTTTACAGTAAATTTATGTAAAGGATTTTTATATAGCAAAAGACAGGAAAATAAATCGGAAATATTTCAGAGTGCACAGAGAGTGAATATTTGACATACATTTGCTGGGTGAATAGAAATGCTACCCCTCCCCTAAATGAATGCTAATATTAGATCTTGTTTCTTGGATATGTAATAGACAACTGGGTTTTAACAAATTCACCACAATGGCTTTGGGCCAAAATAGTAAGCAGCAAAGTGCATTTTATCAGATTGTTTTCACACAGAAACAAGATAAATTTGTGGCTAAGCATTAAACAAAGCTACACAGTATTAGAACAGTAGCGTAGCATGTGAACTGCCAATAAATGCTTTGAATTCAATTTATAGAGAACCATCACAGTTTGAATAACAATAGCAGTATTTGTTATCCTCACATCTTTCAGTCCTAGCTGATTTATAGCTGCAGTTATTGATGTCTTTCTCCATTAGTGAAATTGTCTGCATGGCTCACTGGATCAGCTAAGGTTGGGCTGTGTGTGTGTGTGTTACAGGCTGCATAGCTATATGGCCCTTCTTTGCTAAGGTGAACTAAGGGCGGAAAAGAAATGAGGAAATTCAGGGTTGACTCAGCAAGTAACTGAATACCTGTTCATGACAGGTGTACTAATGAGAAGTGTGATCGATACTCCTCTTAACGAGCTAGCTACATGATTGGTGCCACCAGCTAAAACCCTCTGTTTTGCTGGTGGCACCAAAAGCAGGAAACTCTAATCTAATGGCCTTTGTCTTAAGATTTACTAGTTTGATTTGGGTTCATGGCATATTTCTCTCTTTTCTTTTTCCCCCACTTTCTCAGTTGTATTCCGCCTTGCCTCTTTCTCTCCGCCTTCTCTTGTCTCTTCACTTTCCAAACCTGAAGTAGAGAAAGCCTAAAGTAGCTTTCTCTTTTTTGACATCACAGTAAGCCTGTCTTGCTAAGACTAAAATAGCCAAGCGGCTTTGTGTGGTACCTAGCTGAGGAGGAGGAGGAGCTCTTGGCTTCCTCTGAGTGCAGCAAAGAAGTGAGGACATGCTGGTGTGAATGGTCAGTGAGAGAAGCTACAGTATTTGGCCACTGGGTAGGGATGTGACGATACACTTAGCTCACAAGATGAGACAATACATGATATTGGGTTCACGAGAATGGGACAAGATGATATTTTAGCACAATTTTTAAATAAATCTTCAATGCTGAAATATATGACTGTAAAAATAGTGTTTTATACAAGTAAAAGTCAAAATGCAAAACAATGCAGGTGCATTTTGACATGTTTAAACTAATCATCTTGTAATGGATGGCACTTCAGTTCTCCTTTCTGACTATGAATTATCATATGCAGTAAAAGGCAATAATATACAAGCACTATAAAGGCTATAAAGGCTTTGGTACAAACTCATCTGACTGGCTTCTCTCCTGTAGGATTTCACATGAGTCTTTTATAATTGTGCTTGAACTATGCATGAGCTTTTAACTTTTAAGTGAAGCTACTGTATATGTGATCCATATGGAACATGGAGGCAGGAAGGATTAGATTAAGTCAAGGTGCAACTTATGATGTGCTTCCATCTACCCAAAGTTTGAATAGATGGATAGGAGGGGACGCAACCTGTTCCTTGTGTTCAGATGTAGCATCACTTCGGTGTAAAACAAGCCTGGCTCAAGGAGACTACTGTATACCTGGAGACATAACCAAATGTTGAAATGTTTAGCAGCAGCTACTGAAAGTAGGTGCTTAGAAGTAAACTCAGTGGAGGAGAAGAAGAAGCAAGAGGGGATTTTTTTTTTTTTTTTTTGTTCATGGGGGGGAAAAAGGCAGGAAGTAAGTCATTTTGAACAGGCAGGATGTAGGCCAGCTAAAGGCAGAGGGAGACTGGCAAATGAATGTAGATTTAGGGAATCAAGTCATAGTCCCTGAGAAGACAGTCACCACTAACCTTAAACCAGATGTGTTGTGGTCTGAAACATAGTGGACTGTGTATGTTGTCAAGCTTATAGTTCCCTGGGAGAATGCTGTAGATACAGCTTTTGAGAGGAAGAAACTGAAATACACAGAATTAGCCATGGAGGTTGGTTGTAGGGGATTTGTAGCCAAGTGAGCGGTCTCTCTGCTAGGTGAGTTAGGTATAAAAGGGCAGAGCCTATGACAGCTGATAGCACAGCATGGTTAGGTGGCAGGCTCTGGAGCAGAAGAAAGGTGTGTGAATGGGGTAAAAATAGATAAGTGCTTTGACAAATTGTGAACTGTGACATACTGTATCTAGATTATGACTGCTAAAACGAAGTAAACTAGCATAGAGGACAGGCTTAAAAATGTTTGTTATATGAAACATGAGGAAGTATTAGAAGTTTGGTTTGTTGGAGTGAATAACAACACATGGTGGGTTTTGATGAAGTCTGGCTAGTTATCTGGTGAGTTATCTGAAATATTTGGTGGTTAGAACAGCAGTTGAAATGTTTGCTAGTGACTGTTTGGTAACAGTTAGCCTGAATTAGCCTGAGTAGATGAAGGGTTGTGTTTGGTGTGTGGAAGCACTCATTGAAGCACCAGTTAGTGAGAGGGTGCCCACCTGATGACCCTATAGACCTGCTTTCACTCCTACACCCACACAGAATTTGTACTTGTGTTGGTGATAATAGTTACTGACTCAGTGGGGCTGTTAGTAGTTTATTCTTATTTTGTTAGACAATCTTGGTAGAACAGTGTCAGTAGTTGGCCACCTGAGTGGACCCAGCTCTCAGAGGTGACTGTCGTTACAAGCCAGTTGGACCAGCCACTGCTTAACCTGAGCAAACACAATGCAGATGCTGTGTATCAAGCCACATATCTGCTCTTTGCTTGGGTGAGAATAGGATTCAGGGATGCTTTGTGTTAAGGGAAGGTTATGTCTGGAAAATGTTGTGGTGCTCCTGACTTATGACAGCATGGCCTGACAGCCTCCTCTTTGGGGCCAAATAATGGATAAACATTATTTAACTCATATACTGAGCTTCCATATGAATGCTCTCCCATTCTCCCTTCTGTGTATTATTGACTGACATCATATGCAATAAAAGACAACAATATGTAAGCACTTTAAAAGGTTTCGCCACAAACTC